TTCCATAACCATACTGCATCTCCAGTCCTGAACTTGCTCTTTAGACTCTGAGGAGAAACGGGACATTTCCTCTCCGGAGCTGCTCTGTACTTGGCTCTTGAATCTTGATCTTTTCCTTGACTGCCTGGGCAGGTAAGATATTTTCCTGTCTTTCCTCCGAAGATATTTTTCCACATCTGTAAGAGTTCTGCCCTAGGCCTGCACTCAACTCTCTTGCCCTTATGGAGGGATTTACTGAAGGTCCCATCTCTACTTTTGGCTGGTCTCTAGGATTGCTTTAAATTACCAAAGTAGTTGACTACCCTTTAGTGAAATTCAACCTCTTCACCTCTCATTTAATCAATTAAATTTACGAAAGGCCTAATACAGGCAGAGCATGTGCCATACTTAGAGGCTCAGTGACAATTGCCTCCTTCCTCTGGGAACCTGCAATCACCAATCGCCAACAGCGGCTGCCATTCAAGGCCGCCTCTTGATAACTCCCCACTAGGAGCCTGTATTCTTTACCTCACCTAGACCTCCCAACAGCTCATAAGGTCAAGGTCATCGTCTCTGGGTTCTGAGTGAGGATGCTGAGTCTTACTGATACTTGAGCAATGAGCTCAAAGTCACAGACAAAATAAGTGGTAGAGCTGGAGTTTGAACATATTTCTGTGTCTAAACCCTTGCTTTCTCATTTACACGGAAGATTCTATATAGAGCATAGTAGTTTGGACCTCAGACTCTAGAAGCATGCCAACTTAAATTTAGAAACCTAGCTCTGCCACTTCATGGCTAGGTAATCTTGAACAAATGAGTGAGCCTTTCTGAGCATCATTGCTCAACTGAATTGTTTCCTCATCTATAAAAATAAGGTATGATAATACCTGTCTGGTAGGACAGTGAGGAGAATCTCAAAAATGGTACCTGGCATGTCAGTGCTAATATCTAGGCCTAGTCTCACCTGTAGCCATTTAATATCCTTGGCAGCATCCTGGAAACTGGTCTGTTGTACACTGATTCTTTCCAATAGCTGCAGTCTGAGGGACACCATTAGTTCTTTACAGAATAAAGGCAATTATCATGCAGTGGGTGAATGACAAGTGATCCAGGTTTCAGGTTTCAGGTTTTGGGTTATCCCTTCTGCCTCCTTACTCTGCTCTCTCTCTCCTTTCCTGACTCAAATGCACTCCTACTTTCTAGAAGGTTGTCTTCTGGAATTCATCTTGTTATCATCATGTTAAAATATCAAGCATGCTGTAAGTACACAATAAAAATAAGAGATGCTATCTATTCAAAGAGAAGTGTTCTCTCCTTATACATATTGGGAGAACATTCTGAAGCTCTCAGTACATCTCCTAGAACTTGGAACTTCAAGAATTTCTCCTTTCACAGATAAACGAAAACAAGTCTTTCCCCCAGATCCAACATCTTTACGGTGCTCAACCTTCTGGAAAGAGGAGACTGTCCATGGTGAGGACTTTTAATGACCTCTCAGTGCAGAGGGTAGGAAAAACATCTCTCTTGGAAACTTTGGGACACCATTTTTGGGTGCCAGTATACCAAAGACTTTCCACTGAAATATCAGACCAGTTAAAAATTCCTCTCTGGCGTCAGGAGTTTTCCGGACAGGCCTGGATTATATAACCACAATCATCTTTCTTCTGACCTCTGAGATCCAGTTCAGGAATTCTGTCTGGGTGAATTTTCAGTCTTAGCTCTTATCCGTGGGATGTCTGGGAGGAAAGGCTGTGTCAACACAGGGGTTGTCAGGTCCTGTCATGCAGGCAGTGAAGAGCAAAGGGTTGGTGGCCACGGGAATGTCACTGTGTCTTGCCTGTGGGAATCTGAGTCAGAAGACACTTCCGTTGTCCCAGGCAGGTTGGGTCTGGTGTCAGAGGCAATTAGTTGTGCCTGACGGTTGTGGTTTAACCTGCACTTTTCTGAATAGGAAGGAAATAGTAATGGCTTGAACCTCTGGAAAATCTAACTGGCTTAAAAGTCTGAGCGTTTTTTTGGCCTGGTTGGGGTGCTTACTCCATCCTGGATTGATTTTGAAGATGGAGAGATGCGGTACGGGGCCAAAGATACAATTCATTTGGTAGTTCTTTGCTGACTACCACTAGGTGCAGGGAATTCTATGCACAGCTGGGGATGGGACTATAGAAATGAATAGCACAGCTGCTTTTTTCAAGTTGCCTGCATTCTAGTGACTGGGCAGTGCCGGCTTGATACCTCCCAGAGAGCAACTTGTGTCCCCAGTGGACCTCCTTCAATGTGGTCCCCTTCAGCAATCTGGGGACATCAGTGTCCTATGACTGGCTTCCCATGTGAAGTCAGACTCTGAGGCTCTAGACCCCGGAAACTGGAAACAGAGCAGGAATAGTCAGAATAGAGGTTAGAACCCTCTTTAGGGTGCCAGAAAAGGGAATTCTTGACAGTGGATGTTTCCCTGCTGACCCGGTCCTGGGCATCCAGTCTTGTCTTCCCTCCTCCCAGGCGCCATTGAAAGAGCATGGCTGAAGAACCAGGTGCGAACCTCACTGCTTCAGAAACAGGCAGCAAACCTCATGCAAACCCTGCCTGTTTGGGCAGGACTTGGCTGGAAAGGATCCCTGTCAAAATTTGGTCCCAGACTACTGACTTTCATTGTTAGTAAATGCAATATTAACCAGCATGCTGGAAATGTAAAAAGTAAACATCTGTACTCCATGGATTTGCCTGGGCTTCCCACGCTCACTGAAGATGTGTCAACCACGTCCAGTTCCCAAGACCAATGCCCTCTGTTGAAAAGTGGCTGCTCTCTGGGTTCAAAAATGACCAGAGGGGGCTGGGGATTTAGCTCAGTGGTTCCGCTGCCTGCCTCAAAAGTGCAAAGTCCTGAATTTGATCCCTGGTACCAAAAAAAATGACCAGAGGGGCCAGGAATTTAGCTCAGTGGTGCCACATCTGCCTTGAAAGTGCAAGGTCCTGAGTTTGATCCCTGGTACCAAAAAAATGACCAGAGGGGCCAGGAATTTACCTCAGTGGTGCCACATCTACCTCGCAAGCACATGGTCTTGAGTTCAACCCTCGCTACTGAGAAAAAAAATGACCAAGGATTAGCTGTGCTTTATTCATAACCATTTTCACATTGAAGCCATTCTGCTTTACTTCTAAGATCAGAGCCTGCTACATATGCATCTGCTGCATTAAAAGCAGACATTATATTGAACCTTCTTTGTGTGTGTCGTCAACACTTAGGACCATGCGTGGCAGAGAAAGGATGCTCTTCTTCATTAAACGGAAATTCCATATGTGTGGAATCATAAACAGACCTCCTGTATTCCAGCCCCCTCTCATCTTTCCACTCCCCTGCCACCAGATTTGAGGAGATCAAGCCACTATAATTAGTTGTGTGCCACTTCCTCATTATCTCCTCCAGTCCCCAATCTTCTGGTCTACAGTGAGAGGAAAGTGGGCTTTGAGTCAGGAAATCCCTGTTTTACCCATTATCAGCTTGTCACTTTATATCACTGAGCCCCATTTCCAACACAAAATAACTGCTATGATCATTAAATGAGATAAGTAAGCCACCAAGTTTATAGTACATGGTCGGCAAGGGCTTGTTCGGTATTTTTCCTCTTTTAAAACTCTCCATAAATCCCGAGAAAAGTGTGTCCTTGACAAGCACCTTCTGGCTATACATTAAGTCACAGGCTCAAACCTCTTGAAGAAATCAAAAGTCCCATCTGCCTTGATGCTTCTACGTTCTTCACATTCAAATCATCTGAGGGCTTTTCAATTGGTACTTGTTAACACAAGGAGTGTTTCCTTGGATGTTGACACAAGACAATTACTTGAGAAGAGAGCATGTAGGACATATAGGTCATCTACCCTACTGAGCGTCTGCTTGATCCCCATTCTAGTGGCCCTCACACGTCTTCTCCTAGTTCCTCAGTTCCAAACTCTGGTTCATATATCCAGCTGCCTGCACGCACCTCCCCTGGAAAGCCTCATAGGATCTCCAACATAGCACATCTAAAGTAGAACTTTGATTTTTTCCCACCCAACACTGTTCCTCCTCATCCCTTCCCATGTCAGGAAACGGTACTACCTCCCAGCCAGTTGCTCAGATTAAAACTCTAGGAGTCATGGTGACTTTCCCTAATTCCCTCTACTGATCCATGTGCAGGACTCCTCAGTTCCATCCACAGTCTGCACCCCCCTTTCTCTGAGCTAGCCCAGCCTGCCCCTTCTGTCCTGGAGCCTGGGCTGGAGCTCCATTGTTTTCTCCAAAGAGCAGTCCAGGAGGACTGGACTCAGATCCTCTCCCTTCACCTTCATAAAATGCAGTTTTTAAACATTCAGAATAAAAACCAGGTCCTTTCCATAGATCTCCCTCCATGGTCCAGCTGTTGCCCATTTCTCTGACCCCGTCTTCCCCTGGCCCAGGGACTCTGTCTGCATTGTAGTGAGCACCAGGCGTGTCCCAGGTCAGGCAGGTGCCTCTCCCTACAGCCCAACCAGGTGAGCATGAGAAAGAGTTTGGTGCTGGCAAATAATAAGTGATGGACAAATGTTAGATGTCCTGCTTGTCATTCGTCCAGACAGTGGGAGCGGGACTAAGGGGCGGGGGGGGGGGCTGTGGCCCAGAACAGCCAGGAGTAGAACGCGAGCCCACCTCCCCCTTACTCACACTGTCTTAGCCATTTTCTAATGTCTGCCCATAGGGGGCGCTTCAGCCAGGAAGGCCAAGTATGGGGGGCGCAGCCAAGGAGGCCTCTTCCCAAACCCGGCCCTCCCCACCAGCCTCTGTCTCTGAGGGCTTAATGAGAACTCCAGGCACTTCAGGGACTGCAAATAACTTTGAGGGCGCCCGCCACTAACTTGAGCGGCAGGAAGACCCAGAGCTGCCAAACCTTCAGGGAAGATAAGTGAGTGGAAAGAGATGGTTTCTATAGCATTGGGCAGAAGGATTTTTAGGTTGTTGAATGTGAGCTCCTCCCCTGCAGAGGAGCTGAAAAAGCCCTGTCCTCATCCCCTCTCTGCACTCCATTTGATTAGGAATTTGGGGGCGGGCCCTGGCCTGGCACGGAGGCGCACACTCTCAGTAGGCACTCTCTCTGTCTCTCGCTCTGTCTCTCTCACACGTTCTCCTACCCAAGGAGCCCAGACAGGAGGACGTGGTCACTCTCTGAAAGGTTCAACTTGAGGTAAGTCCAGTCATTTTACTTTGGGGTTCATCCCCTGTGATTCATAAAAGAAATAAAGGAAAGGGCTAGGCCTGGGGAGAAGACAGCCAGGGAGAAGTCATCCCCCTCCTTCTTACCATGACCCCAGGGACAGGGAGAGGGGCACAGGGACTGAGAGGACCGGTCCGGCAGGCACAGCTCCTGAATAGGTGTGGGTGGCCTCCGTTTGCAGGCATGAAAAAGCCAGGGACCCAGTATCCACAGAAGCTTCCTGGGACACTTCGGAGAGTACTCTGTGAGTGTCCCTGAAACCTCTCTTAGAGAGGGGGTGTGGTACCTAAATGCTGCGTGTGTGTGTGTGTGTGTGTGTGTGTGTGTGTGTGTGTGTTTTCCTGGGGCGAAAGGAGAGAATAAGGAGAAGAGTGAAGCATTGGCCGGGTCCAGGGAGCTGTGGACTGAGCTGGGGTCTCACCCAGGTGAGGGGCGGCCTCTGGTTCACCCTCCTTGGCTCTGGTTGGGGGAAGAACGCTTTGCCTAGATGGACACATAGCTCAGGAGCAGTGGCTCCTGACTGCCAGTCCAGGGGACTTTGCATCATTCAAACTCTGAGCACAGAGCTGTCTCTAGGCTGATGGGAGACAACCCGAGAGGGTTCAGCCCTGAAACAGCAAGGCTGGGAGATGGAGCGGGAGGAAGACAGGCCCACGCCCCCTCCAAACTCTCCCAGCAGCCAGAGCTCTAAGGAGAGGCCGAAGTGGCGGGGTGTGCAGCCCTGGAAAGCTGGATCTTGATGAGGAAGATGGCTCTCGTCTGCCAAGGTGCCCAGTCTGGAAGAAGGAGAAATGGAGACAGAGGCTCACTGTGCCAGCCACCAGACAGCCACCTCGGTTCCGCAGCGGCCCAGGGCTGTGCATGGAAAAATGTGCTTTTGGCATGGGCTGCTCCGTCCTTCTCTCCTGGCCACAGTCAGCGACCAGCCAGCCCAAGCAGTGGGCAGTTGGGTTTGCCTCTCAGGAACACTGCAGCTCTTTGTCTGAGGCCTGTAGCTGCCGAAGGATAGGCCAGGGTGCCCGCTCCTCAGCAGCCTGGGAGCTGACAATATGAAGCAGCCCTGAGGGCACTGCCTTAGGGGACCGGAAGGGAGGGTGGGCACAGGAATGGAGGATGAGTGTCATCATCAGGGACCTTCTCATCAGCCATTGGATTTGATGTTGGCTTTTATATACCTGTCTTTCTCCTGTTCCTATTTGCCAATACTGGCACAACCCAAGAGCAATGCTAGAGGTACATGTGACTCTTCCACTCTGTCCCAGGGCGGCACATTGGAAGATTCCCACCTCCCACAGGGGCTTGGCAGTAGGATGACTCTAGGTAACTGGGGTAGGGTACCAGCCTTTGATGTGCCACCCCTTGGTTCCTCATCTTCCATTCCTTCAGCTTCCCTCTCAGATGATCCCGGACCCCCCACCTGCTCTGTTCTTATCGAAGTAGCATTGCAAGGTCAAAGGCCACAGGCTGCCCAGCCATGAGGGGCCTAGATACAGAGCCCGGGATGCTGGGTGTCATCACTTGGAGCAGGCAGCTTGAGACAAAAGAGGAGAAGATAAAACCCCACCCTGAGTCACTTTCCCTTGGGGATGCCCCCTTCTAACTGCTGTTCTGATTTTCAGTGTCCCTTGTTCATTTCTCTGGGCCCCAGTGGCTCCTGCTTAGTAGGAGGAGCACTAACTGTGCACTAGACCTCACAGAAGAGAGGTGTGAAATAGCCCAGACCCCACAAGCAGGGTGGTGTGTCCCAGGGTGATGTGTACCAGGATGATGTGTAGCAGGGTGATGTGTCCCAGGGTGATATGTACCAGGATGGTGTGTACCAGGGTGATATGTACCAGGATGATGTGTAGCAGGGTGGTGTGCACCAGGGTGGTGTGCACCAGGGTGATATGTACCAAGATGATGTGTAGCAGGGTGGTGTGTACCAGGGTGATGTGTACCAGGATGATGTGTAGCAGCTGCTAACCAGAGAGTCCTCTAACCCAGCCACTGTTACAGATGACGGTGCTTTGGAAGGCAGCCCAGGCCTTGCAGTGGCTGCAGAGGGACCACACCACCCCCCAGACACTCAGGACCAGAAACTCACAATCTACCCAAGAGCCCACAGATCTCCCAGAAGTAGTTCGGATGTTCCCCTTTGTCTGGAGCATTTCAGGAGGTTTCCCAGAGACATGGAAAGGGGCAGAGGGCTTTTTCCTGGACTCTTAGAAAATGTTATTTCCCTGAGAGTGCAAACTGCATGGGAATTCAAGTCTGAGAGCAGCACACTGCCACCACTAACCCCTACACATGCACACACACACACACACACATACACACATCGACATGCTACATGCATACAAGACACTGGCACACACATGCGCAGGGAGTGTTGTGGGCTTCCTAGCTTCTGCAACAGCCCTTTCGAAAAATGCACCCCCTCCCACTCAAGTTCCTCCTGCTCTCACAGATTGTTTCTGTGACTGCCCAGGAGCAACGCTTTTAGGTCACGCCAGGAGCCGGGTGCAGCAGGAGCAGGTGTGCAGAGCAGGAAGGGGGGCTCTGCACAGCTGAGCCCGAGTCCCGCCTGCCCTGCCTCACTGCCCTGCCTCACTGCCCTTCCGCGGCCTCACTCATGCCCACTTGTTCTGTACCCTCTCCCTTCCTGCAGGGACAGAATGCAGTGGGTGTCCCTCCTGCTGCTGGCAGGGCTCTGCTCCCTCTCCCGGGCCCAGTATGACGACGACCCTCACTGGTGGTTCCAGTACCTCCGCAGCCAGCAGTCTACCTACTATGATCCCTACGACCCGTACCCGTACCCCTATGAGCCCTCGGAGCCTTACCCGTATGGCGTGGAGGAAGGGCCAGCCTATGCCTATGGCTCTCTGCCCCCACCAGAGCCCCGTGACTGTCCCCAGGAGTGCGACTGTCCCCCCAACTTCCCCACGGCCATGTACTGTGATAACCGCAACCTCAAGTATCTGCCCTTTGTCCCCTCCCGCATGAAGTATGTCTACTTCCAGAACAACCAGATCACCTCCATCCAGGAAGGCGTCTTTGACAACGCCACCGGGCTGCTCTGGGTCGCTCTCCATGGCAACCAGATCACCAGTGACAAGGTGGGCCGGAAGGTGTTCTCCAAGCTGAGGCACCTGGAGAGGCTGTACCTGGACCACAACAACCTGACGCGGATGCCCGGCCCCCTGCCGCGCTCCCTCCGAGAGCTCCATCTCGACCACAACCAGATCTCGAGGGTCCCCAACAATGCGCTGGAAGGGCTGGAGAACCTCACGGCCTTGTACCTCCACCACAATGAGATCCAGGAGGTGGGCAGCTCCATGAGGGGCCTCCGGTCCCTGATCTTGCTGGACCTGAGTTATAACCACCTCCGGAGGGTGCCTGATGGGCTGCCCTCAGCCCTCGAGCAGCTGTACCTGGAGCACAACAACGTCTATACCGTGCCCGACAGCTATTTCCGAGGCTCACCCAAGCTGCTGTATGTGCGGCTGTCGCACAACAGTCTCACCAACAACGGCCTGGCCACCAACAGCTTCAATGCCAGCAGCCTCCTGGAGCTCGATCTCTCCTACAACCAGCTGCAGAAAATCCCCCCTGTCAACACCAACCTGGAGAACCTCTACCTCCAAGGCAACCGGATTAATGGTGAGACGGGGTGGAGGGATGGGGCTGGCTGGCAGTTTCCGAGTGGCAAAGTACAAAGGGAGAGGCGGCGGGGAACCACAGGAAGCCTCCAGTCTGGCACAGTGACACACACCTGCCATCCTAGCTACACGAGACGCGGGGGCAGGAGCATCACAAGTTTGAGACCAGCCTGGGCAGCTTAGCGAGCCCCTGACTCAAAATCTAAAAGTAAAAAAAGGGCCAGGTATGATAGTGTGCACCTGAAATCCTAACACTCTGGGAGGCTAAGGCAGGAGGGTTGCAACTTTGAGCCCAGCCTGGTGGGCAGTTTAACAATTCAGCGTGACCCTGTCTTAAAATAGAATATTAAGAAAAAGGGCTGGAAATGTATAGCTCAGTGCCTTGGGTACCAAAAAATAAATAAATTATTGAATTAAAATTTAAATTTAAAAAGGGCTGGGGATGTATCTCAGTGCAAGGCCCTGGGTTCAATCCTCAGTACTGAAAAAGAAGAAGAAGAAAAAGCAACCCGAAAACCAAAGCCACAGCCTTGTGCAACAGGTGCAAAGTAGGAGCAGCAGCGGCACTGAGAAGGCGCACTGGGGAGGGGTGGCTCCGAAGACCAGGAGTTTCCCCATCCAGGGCTGGAGAGCTAAGTGGGCCATGGCAGCAGGAGGCCCCCTTCCTCCCTCAGAGTCATTCTGCGACAAGGAACCAAGAGGGGTTCATCTGTAGGGCACAGCCCGGGATGCCCAAAGGGGAGGCATCCCTTGTAGGGCAAGCGGGGCTGGGAGAGGTTTGGGGGGTCAGTCCCTAGAGAAGGAGACACACTCACTTGTAATCCCAGCATGGTGGGAAGCTGCAGCAGGAGGCTGAAAGCTGAAGCCCAGCTTGGGCAACTTAGTGACTGAGTGAGACCCTGCCTCAAAATAAAAAAGGTAAAAAGGGCTGGTGCAAGGGCCTTAGGTTCAATTCCCAGTACCAAAGAAGGAAGGAATCGGGGGAGAGAAACAGCACGCTTCCAGGGCCCATCCTGGGAGGGAGGCGGAGTCTGGGCCTGCTCCCCATCCGGAGAGGGGAGCTGTTTCCCCATGACCTGCTCCTGCCTCCACAGCCTGGTCTTGTGTTTTGGTGTTTATTTGTTGTTTGTTTGTTTGTTTGTTTTTGGTACTGGGGATTGAACTCGGGACCTTGCACTTGCAAAGCAGGCAGCGGAACCATGGAACCACTGAGCTAAATCCCCTGCCCTCATTTGTTTTTTAAACATAATGGCTGGTGGACAAAAGTGTTCCTCCTATCAGAGTGAATGTGGTGTCTGTTCTGATCAGCTCTCCCTGGAGTCCCCAGTGGCAGGGCAGAGGTCCTCCCTAGGGTACCAACAGTCTGACCCCACAGGCCCTGGGGTGGGTTGGGCGAGAATTCAGGGCTGGTTTTTTTGGGGGGGGTACTGGGGATTGAACTCAGGCCTTTGTGCTTTCAAGGCAAGCATGGAACCACTGAGCTAAACCCCCAGTCCCGGACAACCGAAGGGCTGCCTCTCTGATGCTAGAACTAAAAGATGCATTTCCGGTGGAATGGTCTCACTGCTATTCAGCTTCCTACATTGCTCCAGGGCTTCCGATGTCTTCGTCTCAGTGAAAGGTCCCAAGCCAGCTTTGGCCACCCCCCCACACCTGCATGCTGCTTGGGGGGCACTGTTAATGGCTCTGCCAGATGGCTTTGTCGTGGAGCCTGCTGAGAAGGACTCCACCATCAAAGCTCGGGGAGAGACTGAGGTTGCTTTCTCCGCCTGTGCTCAGGAAATGGCTCAGTTGTTTAGCGAGACATTAAGGGTTGGCCAGCCTCTGAGGAGAGAGAAGCCAGCCTCACAGGACAGTGCCCGAGGTGACAGCCAGGCGGCAGGCAAGCTAGAGAGCCGTCTGCCTGGTCTTGTGGGTTGAAGAGCAGAGCACCCACGTGGACATTCCAGACAGGCATGCAAAGTCTGCTGTCTTTGGGGTCTTCTCACCACCAGGGAAGGCTGAAGGGTGCTTTAAGCCATCAAGATGTCACAGACAGCAAAGGTTGGCATTTCCTCCTGGCTTTCTGTCTCCCCTAGCAGTCACCACCACTCACCTGCTGCCCAGGACATTGTCATAGCAGAAATGTCACACTGGCTCATCCAAGCTTGGCCATGAAAATGTGGCCACAAAGAGTGGTCATCCCGGGGAAAGGATCCATTGGTTAGTGGCCACCAGGAGGAAGGTGGGGTGGAAGGCTTTATCACCATGTCTCACCTCCTCTGTCTCCCTGCAGAACTGTGTCTTGCTCCTCAAATATGAGGCTTCCCACCCCTCCCAAAAGCTCATCAGAAAGTAAAATTACTTAACAGAGTGTCCCAAGCTCCTGCAAGAAAGCTCTCTGATCAAAACACATAAAAATTGTGTCTACCCCCATCACTTTGTGTGCCATTTAAGCCTGATCATTTATTCTCTTCTGCAATGTTTTTTAAGTAAAATAATTCCAATGCCTCACTCTTCTTAAATTAGTGCATTAATATATGCACAGTTCTTGGTCCAGTGCCTAGCACGTAATTTAAAAACCAATACATGACAACTGTCAGCTGTTATTCTTGTTGCCACTTTGAGGTTGGCAGGTACCATTTTTGTTGTTGTTTCCATTGCAAAAATGGAGAGACTGAGGCACAGAGGAACAAAAGCCATCTCAGGGTCATCCAGACTACACGGTATAGAACCTATGTTCCTGCTGGGAACATAGAGGGGCCTGGGGTCAGCACCCTGAGAATGGGGAGGAACCTCTGACTCAGACCCCCTCATCAGGAAAACACTTCCCCAGGCACCTCCTTCGGGTGGAGGGGGGTGGATCTTCCTGCACCCAGGGATTTGGGGTGGGGCAGCAAGGGAGGATCCAAGCAGCCCTCAGGGAGGAACTCAGGCAAGCAGGGGCCTAAGACCCAAGGGTCCTCCCCCACTTCCCCTTTCCACCAGCATCTCCCAAATTTTTTCCAGCCTGGCAACCGTGAGGGAACAGAGCGTGGAATGTTATTTGGAAGCTCTGGGATCTAGTGGAGCAGGGCGGGTACACCGGGAGGAATGTGGAAAGACTTAGGTCAATATTTCATCTGGGCTGGAAAATGTCAGCTGGAGGCTCCACCCAGAAGCCCTGCGCTATTCATGGGCTTGGGGGAGACAGCAGGGGTGGGGGAGCATCTGCACGCACTGTCCAGCTCTCCGCAAGTGTGCCCTGTATTCAGGTGTCTGCAGCTGGGACCCAGGGTCTGAGCAGTGAGGACTCCAGGCTGGGAGAGGATGTGTCGCTCACCTCTCCTCCAGCTCCGCTCCAGGTAGAGGTGCAAGTTAACACTCAAACGCACCCCTGTACACGGATATCAGAGACCCGGCTCCCAACCAGGGCTCTCCTACGGAATGGCTTCCCTGGGTCTGGAAAGCAAACTTCCAAAGCATTCCAGACCTCTGCCCCTCTGTGCAGGGCATTTCCAGCCTCCCCAGCTCTTCTCAGTACAAATTACTCTTTGGACCTAGATTTTTTGTCTTACTCTTGCAGTACAAGGGAGAGTGATGCAGCCCAACTTCCCATCTCCACAGGGTCAGTTCCTAGCGGGGGCTGAAAGCAAGCGATGGTGCTAATTCTCACACTTCTCTCCCCGTCTGCACACTGTCTTCCTGAGAATCCTCACCTTTATGTTCCTGAGCCCTCCGAGATCAGCCCAGGCTGCACTGGGAAGGAAGTTAGAAAAGCCTCACTTCCTCTGAACTTGAAACGACACCTCTGGGAGGAGGAAAGCAAGCCCCAGCTCCGGCTCTGCCCCGTGTGACAGCTGCTGGGGGTCCATCCTCACCCTCACCCGCACTGTGGCTTTGCAGAGCCCCCAAAAGCATCTTCTGGGAGCACAGCCCAGGGGCTCCGGCAGCTCTGGGTGCAGTTTTGACTCAGGTCTTATTTCCTTTTTTCCCTTTCAAGTTGCTGACTCGGTAGCCTGGAGACAGCAGTAGTTGGTTTGTCCAAGAGGACATCCAAAGGAGAACTGGTTTGTTCGGAGGACAGCCAGAGCAGGAGCTGTGGAGGGGCTCGCATCAAAAGCAGACAGCACTGTTGACAGGGCTCAGGGAACATTCTCACAACAGGGACTTCTTTTGAGATTTAAAAAAGGAAGTAGACCGAAATCATATTAAATGCGGGCGGCAGGGGAGTTATTTATTTGGCTTGTGAGGTCCAGAGCAGCCTGCTTTAGCCCCGGAGAATGGCTCAGGGTCCTGGCCCCATGGAGACGGGAAAGAAGTGTGCAGCCTTCTCAAACCTCTGGTGCACAAGATGCTGTCTTGCTGCCTCTCGGCCCGGGATTTCTCTCTTTAATTTCCTGCCACTTTCTCTATCTGCAAAGAGGCAGGAGACTTTCAAGATTTAAGTCCTTTTATTTCTTCCAGCCTTCCTTCTCATGGCAATTCAGCAAATTCCTCCCTCTCGCTAGGGCTGGCCTCTGGCTGCCCTCTGCTGCTCCCTGCTCTCCACAGACAGAAAAAAGACCAAGTCCAGGTGGGAAGGACACTCAAGGACATTCAAAGGACTGCAAAGTGCACACAGGTGGTGGGGGCGGTAACTGGCGCAGCTGCAGAAGCAGGTACCGCCCCCTACACACACACACACACACACCTCTCCCTAATTCCGTCCCCTGGCAGTGCCTGTAGCAGTGCCTCCCATCCTGGGAAACTTCTCCCCATCCCTCCCCAAGTCCCATCCTTGCAGCAGAAGTGTCCCCTGACCCGGGCCTCTCCCGCCCCTCTTGTCCCCGCAGAGTTCTCCATCAGCAGCTTCTGTACCGTGGTGGACGTCATGAACTTCTCCAAGCTGCAGGTGCTGCGCCTGGACGGGAACGAGATCCAGCGAAGTGCGATGCCAGTGGACGCACCCCTCTGCCTGCGCCTGGCCAGCCTCATCGAGATCTGAGTGGCCTCACACTGGGCCCCTGCCTTCCCTTGCACTTGGCTTGATGGTTTGGTTTGGCTTTTGTTGGAAGGTCTGGGACAACCATGTGGCACAGTCTGTGGGCTCCTCTTTGGTCCCTTCCCATAGCAGAGTTAGGTTGCATCAGGGGCCAGGCAGGCTTCTGCTCAGGACGGAGGCAGATGCTCTCTGCTCCCCAGGGCACAGGAGTAGTGGTGGGGAGTCCTACCTGGGAGCCCCAATCCCTCAAAGCTCACTACTCTAAGTTCTCCCTGATGATCTGACGTCAGGGAGCTTTCAGCACTGCCTGGGCAATGGCGCATAAGCTGCTTTCCAAGCCACCTCTGATGTTGTCTCTGCACAGCGCTTGGTAGCTCTCTGCATGTGTTGGGCTGGCCGTGCAGCCACTCTGAGCTCCTGTTCATTGCTCCTCTAAATATACCTCTGGCCAGGCCACCTCCTCCTCAGTCCGTCCCATCCCTCAGCCCTTCTTCACAGATGTCCCTTCTACACCTTCGGCAGTCAGGAGCCCTCAAGGCAGGAGGGCACCTGCCCAGCGACCTGTGGAGACAACCCACACTTTGACCCAAGATTAAAAGGATACTGAGAGTCACTGCTCCACCCTCCTTAACCTCACTTTTTGAAAGCCACCAGATTGGCGGTTACCAGATTGGAGGTCGTGATAATGTTTATGGCCTGATGCCAAAGAACCAGCCTCAGGCTCAGCTGAATTTGTGGGGCTAGAGTTTAGCAGCTGCATCAGATTTCAGAGGAAGAAAGGCCAGACCCAGTTATCATCAGCGCCCATAAGAGCTGCCATGGCACCTCGAATTGGCTGAACTGGGGGACAGCCTCAGTAGTGTCTGTCTTGCCCCATGTGCTCTGCCTCCCCCTACCCAAGTCTTTATCCTAGATGGTTGGGGCCACATGATTTCCAAAGCCTGAGAAAGCTAGTTTGCCCTCTCTTTTGACCCAAGCAGGAAGGTTTTCTATACTGATGGAGAGACAGACTGGACTCAGGTGAGCTCAAGGGAGGAGGACATGGCTCATCTGTATGAACAGGTTCATCCCAAGGCCCAGGCTCCAGGGTCTCTGCTGAGGATGCTCCCTGGGGTCTGGAAAGTCCAGGCCAGGCAGCAGATCTCACCACCCTGCTTTCCTATCTCTGAGCTACACCCCATGATTGAAGATGCCTTTGCTTTGTAGCTTGACCAGAAAGCGGTTAATTCTGCTCATTTCCATGAGGCCATGGTGTCTGGCCCGACCTGCCCGTTCCTCGGGGTGTGGGGGGCCGAGCCTTCTCTCTGGCAGCCAGGGAGAGGCCCAGTGAGGAGAGCTGGCCGAGTCCAGTCCTTACCCAGAGCCCGTCTCAGCCCCAGTTCTGTGATCTTGGGAGCAGCTTCCTGAAAGGGAAGGGGACCCTTGGTCCATGTTCTTGGCTCCTGACCCTGCAATCCACAAAAGCCAAACCAGGGAGCTCTGACGGGAGGGGCGAGGCTGCCCCTGCCCGGGCTCTTCAGACAGCGCCTGCACGTGGACCCCTTCGCCTCCACTCGGGATCTAGTACAGGAGAAGCCGGAGTGGCATTAACCCGACCAATAAAGTTATTGTACACTTGCACCTGCAGGATGACGTCATTGAGGCTGGCCACGCACAAGTGTGCCTCTGGGGACCTAGGGAAGTCCACGGGCTTTGGACCATTCGAGCTCTTTTTACCTGTTCTGCTTGGGCAGATGTAGTTTCGCACACACACACACCCACACACACCCCTGTATAAAATCTCTAGTTAGCAAAGTTTGTGTTCTGGAAACTCTTGAAATCTAATTCCAATCTCACTATCTACATAGCCCCCTCCACTTGGTCCCCAGGAGATAAGAAAACAACCTTTTGTTCTGTTTTGGATCATTCCAGCATTTGTTTTTTCCCCTTCCTACAGCCTCTTGTCCGCCCAGTAATTCTGGATTCGACTGGTCCTGTGTATTTTTGTCTTGACTGCTGCTGCCCTCTAGTGGCCACTCTGCCGCCAAGCATCGCAAAAGCCCGTTAGTGCTGGAAGAGGGAAATAAACCGCTTGTCTCCCTCCCTCCCTTCCTGCCACGTGAGGGAAGAGTGTGGCCCACGGGAAGCAGCGCTCCACGCGGCAAGGAGGAACCTCTGCCTTGCGCTGTGTCCTCAGCAGCTCCCGTGAACACCCCAGCCAGGTAGAGCCCCCACGTGTCTAAGTAAATGCAGCCCTTCACAAGACTAAAGCAGGAAGAGACCCGGTCTCAGGCCAGCCAGGGCCTCGATTCCTTACACCATTAGACCGTTACTTACGCTGTGCCCAAGGCTTTAGTTACCTGATCTCGCTTCCTATTCCTCACTGCTCTGTGCCACAAGTAGTGGTATTTTCACAGTTTTGCAAGTGAGGAGACTGAGGCACCAAGAGGCCAAGGCCACCCAGAGAGGGAGCAGGAAGGGCCGCTCTGACCACAGGCCACCTGCCTCCCAGCCTGTCGTGGTCACGAGGCTGCTAGGCTGCGGGAGATGGCAGAGTCCACGGCTGTTTCTAAAGGAGAGAGGCTTGCTCTGGGGGAGATGGACCGACGCTGTGTACATTTTAGACCAAACCTCTGCTGTATACATTTTAGGGTTTAATGAGTGCTGCTGAGCAGCCACAGGGAGGACTGCAGAGAACGCAAGCGAACAGGTGTGCAGCGGGTGACAGACTTCGAACAACAAAACCCCGCCCTGAGGGTCGTGCATTTCCAGCTGAAAAGGGGTGAAGAGGAGATGAACACAGGTCTATGGGAGGATTGTCGAGAAGCCTGCACAGGTCTGGGAGGCTGAGGCAGGAGGCTCCAAAGTTCAAGCACAGCCTAGATAACAGCTGAGCGAGACCCTGTCTCAAATTTAAAAAAAAAAAATTTTTTTTTTTACAAAGTGGTTGGGGCTGGGGAGGTAGCTCAGTGCAAAGGCCCTGGGTTCAATCCCCAGAAAAAGAAAGAAAAGGAAAAGAAAGAGGCCTGAGATGCTCTGAGGTGTGGAGGGGGCATAGTAGTCTGGATGAGCGGAAGGAGTAGTCCAGGAGGGTGACCAAGGTCAAAGGCCAAAAGCGGAAGGAAACTTCGCAAATGCGGACGAGGAAAATGGCCGGAGGACGGAGAGCCAGGGAGAGTGGCAGGCAGTGGTCAGAGCACCCACGCTGCCTTGCTCCTTTGTTTCAGACCCAGACCCCGAGAAACGACTGCCACTGCCCAATGCCTTTACAACGTCTCACACTTCTGCCTTTACCCACCAGGGGGCAGCATCTCGGCTCACACCACCAAAGCCTTTTCTGACCCCTTGAAACACTTAAGCGTCCCGCACAGCCGGCACCGCTGGTCAGCTCCCATCCCCACTGACTACTGACTTCAAATCAGGGCATCAGGAGGCACGGTGGAGCCAGGGGCCCTTCGCCTTTGTGTGCTGTCTGGCACACAAATGTGGCAGTCTGGGGAGGCCTGTGGACCTCTTCCCAGAATTGTGTTTCTTTTCTTTTGTTAGCTATGGCTGGCCTCCAATTCCTGGGCTCAAGTGATCCTCCTGCCTCAGCCTCCTGAGTAACTGGAACACACCACCACGCCCAGCTTCTCAGAAGGTGTTTAAAAGCACGAAATAAAAAGCATAGGGTTACAAAGGGAACCAGTGACATTAAAATCATTTTTAAAATGTATAAGATGTTGGGCTGGGGATTTAGCTCAGTGGTACTGCCGCCTGCCTTGCAAGCCCAAGGTCCCGAGTTTGATGCCTGGTACCAAAAAAAAAAAAAAACACGTATAAGATGTTTATAAAGCAGTGTTACTCTATTAATGCAACAAGTAACAAGAGCTACCACAAAGCTAACTAAGTGTAGTCATTTCAAAGTACTGATGAGTACAGATAGCTTTCTGAGATATTTTCAATAACTGCAGTGTGATATTAAAATATCTGATTTCATCTCAGATATATTGCTAGTGCTGTTATGCTGTTATCTTCATAATTGAAGGGAATGCTAAATTTCAGTTAGATATATAAAAATCCTTTCAAGGTCAAGACAGAAAGACAGAAATGTGGATCATAGAGGAAAGCAAAAAGAAAGGGAAAACCTAGTTCTTTTCTCTCTCTGGTCAGAGCTCAATCCCTCAACCAAGTCTGATTGCAGCCCCAGTGTGTCAGTAGTTGGTGAACTTAGTGTATGAAAGAAGGAATGTAACACTCCAGGCACTTGCTGTGGAGTTTGAGGAAGGTAATAATAACTAAGATTCATTTTGCCTTAACAAATTAAAAGATAGTTCATTCAGAAACCTAGGAAGCTGGGCTTAGTGGCATAAACCTATAATCCTAGCACTCCAGGAGGCTGAGGCAGGAAGATTGCAAGTTCAAATTCAGCCTGGGCAACTTTGGGACTTAGTAAGATCTTGACTTAAAAAAAAATGAAAAGAATCTATAAGGCAGTTTGATAAGAGTGCCAAATAAAGTATATGGATAAAGTATTCATTGTTTCCAAGAAGAAATGAGGAGGGCCGGGTGGCCAGGCAAGCGGAGGCCACTCCCTGAGGCCCAGGACCCTACACTCCTTTACACTCCTTTACTCACCAGCCCCACTGTTCTAGCAAGCGCTCAGGTGCAGGGCCACAGCTGGAGTCCGTGGTCGGGAGACTGGGGATTCAGTGTGGCCCTTCTCAGACTCTTCTTGGGAAAACCCAAGGACAGAGGGGGGCTGGAGATGGGATTGCCGCCACCAGCCAAGCCTCCCTGTGGCCCAGGCCACCGAGTCATGCCCAGACAGAGCAAACGCACTGGGAAGCTCTGTGGCAGCTGGGTTTCCAGAGCAGCGGTCATTCCCGGAAACCAGTCCACGGCCTGCGGACAGAGCCCACAGGTGGTGTGAGGACTGACCCCGCGGACAGCCGGCATGCCTGCCCCAGCGGAAGCGGAAGGAGTGAGGGCAGAGACCAGGGATGGACAAAGGACCAGGCCGGAACATGCTGGGCCACGCGGGAGCTGCAGGCACTGAAGATAAACGAGCCGTCTCCACTCACCTGTGCGTCCGGGCTGCCAGCGAGCACAGAATTACACTTGACCCCGTTTAGGAAATTTGAAACAGAAGTGGGTCTGGCACCCGTGAAAAGCTAAGAAAAGGTACTAAAAGCAAGGGTAGGGGCTTGAGCCTTCTTAAAGTCCACCCAAAGCAGAGAACCCGCAGCCTCGGCCTGGCGCTCACCCCAGTCACCCCACATCTGCTGTGCAGCAGTCATGCAGGGGCGCAGGTCTTGGCAAAGGTGGACTCTGGAGATAGGCAGACACACAGCAGCGTGCCTCGGTGCCAGCCCAGCCCCCAGTGCGGGGTAGATCAGCGCCAGACGCCAGCAGTGGCCATCCACACAAGGTGTGGGGAAAGCTCTTGGGAGGAAGGAGGCTGAAAACCCACGTCTCAAGGAGAACCAGAGCTCTGAGCACACAGAGCTCTAAGCCTGTAGTAAGAGGAAGTCAGGATCAGAGGTGGGTATTGTTACAGCAACATGGGAGTGGCCTCAGACAGCCCTGATGGCTCTGACCCAGGACAAATGTCAGGTGGCATTGCCTGGTCCATCCTCCCACATGGAGGGTCTCGGCCGACAGGCTCCTTAAAAGTACAGCAAGCATGTCATCAGCATTCGTGGTGATAGTCTCTGAACCAAAAATTATGACACACTTCAGCATATCCCTGTGTCATCATGGGACTGTAAAGCAGAGTATCTTTAGACCTTTGCGCTCAAAGATGTCTAAGATACACAATCAACAAGGATGATTTGAGGTCAGACCATCAGATGGAGAGAGCTGTGTCAGGCCCAGTTCTCAGGTTGCAAGCAACAGAAACTGAAGTTAGCTGACTTCAGGATAAAGAGGATTCATTCATTTGTTTTTCGCCTGGTTGGCTGGTTGGTTGGTTGAAGGGGGAGAACCTTGTGAGAACCTTGCCGTTCCCGTGTGGAACCTGGACTGCAAGGCCCATGTCTTTCCCCGTCACTAACTTTCCATCCCGCATCAGGCTGGCAGAAACGAGTCATGCACTCAGCACCCTGGGAGCAAGTGAGACCAGGATGTGTGCGCCTGACAATTTCATCTCTAGCAATAGAAGTTGGGCTCTGCCCTGCTTGATGGGGAATTTCCCATAACAAATAAAGGGCTCAGATGCTGAGCAGCTAAACAAATGGCAGGTTTGCCCTTCAAGCAGTATGTGGAAGGGGGATTGCGAGGGTGCATTTGTGCCCACAGCAGCTGCCGTGACAGCTGTGGAGCTGAGTAAGAGGGCCACGGACAGGAGGATGGGTATCAGACATCAGGACTGCTACACACAGATGCCTCCTTCCGTCTAACCAGAGATCCTTCCCTGTGGTGAAAGCTGACACTGCTTCAAGTCTCTCCAAATCCGAAGAGCTGATCGGCATAGTTCCCTAGGGCTGTCCTAACACAGTGCCACAAACCAGGTGGCTTAAAGCAAGTTGAAAAACTTGCTTATTCTGCAGGCCAGAAGTCCAAAATCAAGGTAGTAGCAGAGCTGTGTTCCTTCTGAAAGCTTTTGGAAGAATCCTTTCGTGCCCTTTCCAGCTCCCAGTGTTCCTGGGTTTGTACTTCAT